TAATAATTTAAAAAAAAAACAAACTAAATAGGACTGACTATAACAAGAAAAGTTGATTCTATATATATATATATATATATATATATATATATATATATATTCAATAAAACACATTTAAATAAGTTGATACATAAATAACTTAAAGAAAAAACAATAAATATTACATTTAAAAAGAGTGATAAGTCTAATATTTTTATTTACATAAATGAAATCATTTACGTCCCTGTAATAAAGACATATTTACATGCATCTATTTTAATTTATATAAAATAAGTACTTACGTAGACACACGTATACTATTTAGTATATACATACATACGTATATATATATATATATATATATATATATATATATATATATATATATATTTAGAGGCATACAAAAAAATTCGTATTATTCTTGGGAATGTATATATATATATATACATATATATGAGTGTTTATATATGAAGATCGGTTCTATGTACGCATGATCTAATTTACACATAAAACTTCTAGAGGTATCTATAAAACTATTAACCATAGAGTAACAGAATTTGTAAAGAACACATAGTATTGTATATAAACACACGCTAAGAAAACGCATAAATGCTGATATACAGATACAAATATTTTAGCATGTCAGTATCTATATACAGTCAAATATCTATATATAAATGATATATAGTTAACGGAACATATATAATTAGTGATTTTGTATGCAATTATATATAAATAGATCATCGTCTTGATACAGAAAGCTACGTGAATAATCATGTTTGTCACGATGTGGGGTAATGGTTAACAATTCGTCATTGTTTACGAGTTCAGCTCCTGCTGGAACCGACACGCGTGGTCTTGTGTTAGCATATTCCAATCTTTTTAAATATTGGCAGAGTTTTCTTTGCTTACCTGTTATGCACACCTGTGAGGCAGAATTATTTAGATAATTAGTAGATGGATTTTAAGAATTTTTGTTCTAACTGAGTTTTTTTTTTTGTTTTTTCGCTTTTCTTTTTTGTTTATTTTCTTTTTTCTTTTAGAAATCTCGCGAGGTGGGTAGGTACAAATCCTTTTAATAAATTTGTACACAACGCCCTATAATTCGACGTGAATACAAACAAAACAGATTCACATGCTAGCAGTTAGTTACATATCAGCCTACCGACAACTCCCTTATCACACATAAATTACTTCAAGATGCTCCCTAACCTAAAAGGAATAATCGGTAACCGAAAGCAAAGTTATATGCTTGCATGTATCTAGTTTAACAAACACAACTTTAAAAAACGCACAACACACACTCACACACATATATATATACATCTATCTATCTATATATCTATCTATCTATCTATATATATATATATATATATATATATATATATATATATATATATATATATATAAAATGTGGATGTGTTTCTGTGGGTTACCCTGTATCGTATAGTATTTTTTTTTATTAATTAATATTCGTATATATAAATACCTAAGCTCATTAAGGGACTTTGATTAAAACAACAGTCTCAAAAGTCCTTACTAATGTAGTGCAACGAATTTCTATTCGGGGTGACACATTTTAATAAATATTAATTGTGTAGTTTGTTGGTATAAAGGTGTAATAGCTATACAATTAATCTCATATACCTACAATTATTTTACAGGCTTTGATTGTCTTCTTTAGGGATCCCAAATCTGTAGCTATTTATACGAGTAAGCTTACTAAATATAGATCTATCTATCTATCTATCTATCTATCTATCTATCTATCTATCATAGTCTCTTCATTATCTACCAATCTGTCACAGTCTCTTCATATCTATCTATCTATGTAATCATATAGAAAATACGAACTTTTTTGACGGATTATATTAATTTTGAAATTCCTGTTACAAATATTTAACGCCAATTCAAAAGTTATCTTTGTTGTGCTTTAAAATCATTGAATAAAATGAATAGTCAGTCAGGGTCACTGCAAGCTATGCGAACGGGCCACGGCCGACGACGAAAAGTGTACCTTAACAGTGAAAATGTCGAAGCCTTTTTTAGTGCTTCTCGTCGTTTTTTTTTCTTCGGGAGTGACGAACAGTTGAGGATGAGTGACTCCAGGGACTTCAGACAGCCAGTGCTTTTCCTCTCCCACGGGGGTGGACCGTCTTTCTTCATGGACGCCAAGCAATACCCCAGTATGGCCGGAATGGACAAGAATTCCGAGGCAGCCCAGTTTCTCCGCGAGTTGGCCCGTACACACCTTCCATCACGTCCGAAAGCGGTGCTCGTGGTCAGCGCTCATTGGGAAGAGAAAGTTCCCACAGTTATGGACGATAAAAAACACGTGCTTTATTACGACTATTATGGTTTTCCAGATACTACTTACAAGTTGAAATGGTCGGCTTCCGGGTCACCAAGGGTGGCAAACCGGGTAGCAGAGCTTCTCGAATCCAAAGGAATTACTTGTAACAGTGTACAAGAAAGAGGACTTGATCATGGAGTGTTTGTAAATCATTTTGGTATGGCCTGATGCAGATGTACCAGGTAAGTAAAATTTTATATATATATATATATATATATATATATATATATATATATATATATATATATATATATATACACTCATGTACAAATACACATATATATGTTGACGAAGTAAACATTTAGAGAAATGAAACAGATCTCTTCAGCAATCAAGTGACTAAGTGTTTCCGTTTTCCAGATCTCGTCAGATATTTTCCAGATCTCTTTACATAACTCCATGTTTCCGGTAAAATATTTCTTCCTTTAAGAAAGCCCTTTCGTGACTGACTTTTGATAGGCTTCCGTGTTGAAACTTCGCCCTTGATAAAGTTTATCTAGGACTGAAACTCGTTGGTATAAAAGGGTTCCCTCTAGTGATTTTTTTTTATTAATTAGATTAAAGCGGAATTTTTAAACATACACACACACACAGACATATATATATATATATATATATATATATATATTCCAGGACCGATTGGGCCCTATAGCCTTGGGTGGTAACCATTCTAGGTGAAGTAAAATCCCTGAAATCAAACCCATCCTGGAGACTTTTGGGTTACCCCTAGGACCATAATGGGTTATATGTCACGTGATCGACCTATATACGTATAACATTAATAACATATATAAACAAATTTATTTTAAATAAAAACAAAACTACATATATTACACTGAACACTTTTCGAGGTTTTGTTGTTTTGCTAGATTATTACTACGATCAATTGAATCGGCTTATAACTCATGCTATCCTTTTATATATATATATATATATATATATATATATATATATATATATATATATGTGTGTGTGTGTGTGTGTGTGTGTGTGTGTGTGTGTGTGTGTGTGTGTGAGATTTTAGTGCCGGGACGTCATAATCTTTGTTTTGCCTTCTGAATACTCACTGTTTATCTAAAAGTTGTGTAAAGTGCAGTACAAGCATTTCCCGGTTACCTAAGTCATTCACATGCACAGGTGATTTTTGCATTATTTCCCTTTGTGCTTGCAATTGTTAATTGTAACAACAATTCGGCAGGTCATTTGACTTGTTTCATTTGTCAACATATATGTAAAGCAGTTTTAAAATTAAAATGACATTTCTCAGAGATATGCAAAAAAGTCAATGCTAGTCAAACCCTGGCAACATTTATAGGTACAAGATACTAAATATACTAAATATATATATATATATTTATATATATATTTCTGATGAGGTATTATATACATTATTATTTAAATTATTCGGACTATTGTCATCATCTTTGTCGCCATATTTATTACAACGTTTCGCGATAATAACAAGAAAATTGCAATATGGCCTCTGGTAAAAACATGCAATAATAATAACAGCAAACGTTGCAATATGAGCACTGGTAAAAAATTCGGTTACTGAAGACATTAGGTTTATAATACCCAGAAATGCATACGCAGATGTCCTCAAGAACACATGGTACAGTGGATAAAGGCGTCCGTCAGTTAGATCCAGTGACAGGACCCAAAAGTGAGTTCAATATCCGGCTAAGACTGTAGAGAACTTTCAGAGGGAAATTAACAGGAGATAACTGATAACTGACATCCATTAAATATGGCACGTGGAACTAGAACAGTCTACCCAAGTGAGCGAAATAAAGGGTTCAGTTCGTCATTGCAACCACCTGAAGAAGGCCGGAGCGTACAACGGCCAAAACGTTGTAATAAATATGGCGACAAAAATGAGGACAACAGTCCGAATAAAGTAAATAATATATATATATATATATATATATATATATATATATATATATATATGTATGTATATTTGTGTATTTAGGCACATGCATATTTCATTGAAAACGACAGACAAGATGCTTATATTTAGTTTTTTATACAATTTCTCATGTAATCTAATATTTTTTTTCTTTTCGGATGATAAATTATATAAAACTCTCCGAATGTTCTTTTTATCCGCGCTCTTTCGGCTATACATTTAGCCATTTTCAAGGATTAAATTTTAACCGTTAAAATAGTTTGTATGTTTTATAAAATGTTTTCATTTTTCAAAACACGGTCAAGATATTATGTCCATGTTCAAAGTTAATATTATTAAGTGTTGGCTTGTTTGTTTTTATTAATAAGGCTTGCATTATTTTTAGCCTTTTTTTGCATGTAGATGATGCTATTATATTAGTGTTGTCGACAAGTATGTTACGAATAGTGTCCGGTATTTAAATGCGATCTAATTGAGCTATGGTCAGAAAGGTATATATATATATATATATATATATATATATATATATATATATTGTAAAAGCAATAATTCCTTTGCTATATTATCCAATGTATTTATTATTACAGTTTCTTATTCAACCCCGGCAGAGACTATAGCCGAGTTGAATAGAACTGATGAAGTTTTCGTTGGTTGAAATAAGCCTATTCCCCTCATGGGGTAATTTTGAATTTTATTGTATCCTATATATCTATACATATATATATATATATATATATATATATATATATATATATATATATATATATATACAAACATGTTTTCTTTTGTATACTTGTAATCTACAAGTAAATAAATATAAAATACAATGTAAATAAACAAAGAATGTCAGTATTTTTCTTTATATAACATGGAATACCAATAGAGGTAACAGGGAATATTTCTAGGCCCACGTAACGAGGAAATAGGGCTAGGAAAATTTGATACACACAAGGCAGATTGAAGGCAAGAGGAACATTGGAAAGCAACTACAGAACAGTGATTATGAGAGATAGCAAAAAGACAAACATTATTAAAAGCTACAAAGGAGAGAATGTTGTGGAGAACCATTATCACTCTCGGTCAATAGATAAACGTATTTCTAACTGATCAGTTTATATATCAATATTAATATAAAGCTCCTACCGTAGAGACTCATTATTATATTGCTCTCTACGGTAGGAGCTTGATTTTTTTGTCACCCGTCACGCCGTAAGTATAGCCTTGGAAAACAACACATATCTACATGTATTTTACGATACACACTTTAACGCCAGGACGGGTTTAAATGACGAGACCATGACATGACGTAAAAGGTTATTAAATTTTATCTGATATACTAAGCAAGAGTGCGTCGTTATTTGAGATTACAAAAGCCGGTATAAACATTTATACACAGGAGAACGCGCTTGTTTTTTTTTTTTTTGTTTGGTTTGTTTTGTTTTACGGTAAACCAACCTCAATGTGTTATTTAATGCCGACAAAACTTTTATTGCTGGTAATATTTTGTTTTGCCAAAAATCTATTTCTGGTAATATTTTTTCTTCAAAAATGTATTGCTGGTAATATTTATTTTTTAAAAACATTGTTGGTAATATTTTTTCAAAAATGTATAGCTGGTAATAGTTTTTTTTTCTTCAAAAATTTATTGCTGGAAATAATTTTTTTACAAAGTATTTCTGGTATTAAAACCTGTTTTTACACTTTCATAGTGTTTTGAGCTCAGTTTCGGGGTTAACTATTTGCCCATAGCTGGGAGCCTAACAGGTGCTACCACTCGGGGTAAGGGCGAATCTGGAAACACTAGCAATTAAGAGGTAGTTCCACGCTCCTCAAAACCTCCTGATCAGAGGCCTTGCTGCTGGACGTAGTTCATCGTCATACCCAGGACTGATCGTCTTACTTTTTTTTTTAAGTCTGTTCCAGTTCTAAATCTGCGATACCCACGGATGGTGGATGAAGGTTTAGGAGAGATAACAAAAATACAAAATATATTAAGAGCTGCGAAGGAAAGGGAATTGTGTAGAGCCATGATCGCATACGTCCTGAAGGGACACGGCGCACACAAGATGAATAATGTATATTTTTGTAAAACTATATATTTTTTCTAATTCGTAAATCCAAGTTACACTCATCGGTAATAGCTTGTAGGTAAGAAATCGCATATATATATATATATTAGGTTAAATATATCGTTTATTTTAAGGAAGAAATATACGGCGTGATTGAAAAGTAACTCCCTATTCTATGTATGATGGATTCTTCCGTTTAACTATAATTTTTACAAGATGACAGAGTCCATTATATATAGAATAGGGAGTTAGTTTCCAATGACGCCGTTTACCCAAATTACGAATTATATTCCAATTTCGATAAGAAAATAAACATGGTTACGTAGAGGACACTTGAAAAGAGAAACGAAACTTTATGCTATGTCATAACGTTTCGTCATCCTTCCTCATTCAACTGAGCCGGAAAAATTAAAAAATAAACATTATGAGATATCCTTAGACAAAGACTGCAAAACGAGAACAACCTCTCCCCGTAGATTTAATAAACGGTTTAGATTGAAACTATATGAAGTTCAACTGGATAGACAAAACCTGAATAATGCCGAGTAACACATCGGTCGAAACGTTGTTATAAATAACATCAACGATGAGGACATTAATTCGAATGTAAGTAATGTCAAATCTTATGGAGTTATTAAATGTTATTTTTTTTAAGGGGCACACAGGGAGAATCAAACTTACTCCTCAGTAGTAACAGTCACATAAAACAACCTCACATACAAAAGCATCGAGATAACGCAATTGGAAATGAAATCTAGCACACAGAGTAAGAGAATGGTGCACAGGTAACTCTGCGAACAAATTTAGTTCAGTGATGTAAATAAAGTGTGTCTATACGATTCAGAGACTGTCATAGAAAATAAAAAGTATAAGAAATACTTTCACTTCGACATCCAAACCAATCACCTCCTTCAAATCTGACTCGATCGTTCTGGGTATGGCGATAAAGAACATCCGCATCATGGGTATGACGATAAACTATGTCCAATAGCAAGGTCTCTGATCAGGAGGTTTTGAAGAGCGTGGACCAACCTCTTAATTGCTGGTGTTACCAGATCCACCCTGGCCCGGGGTGGTAACACCTGTTAGGGTACCAGCTATGGGCAAATAGTTAACCCCCAAACTGAGATCAAAACACTATGAAAGTGTAAAAATAGGTTTTAATACCAGAAATACTTTGTAAAAAAATA